ATTGAACAATATAATCACAAGAAGTATAAACATATCTGAGTCAGCTCTGGGATGGGAGCTGGTGCTTGATGGCCAATATCCTGGAAACATGAGCCGTTAACACAGCCTGTTTTTTCTATATTTATTTCCTCTGGACTGGACTAGCTTTTATTTTACTGTTTTCATCTTTAGTTGAGAGACAACCATTAGCTTTTCTCACTTGGCATCACTGAAGAACAAAGGGCATGTGTTGCAGTAGAGGATGTTGTGGCCACCCTTCCCCCCATCGGCGTGGTGGTCCCTTCTGGTGTCAGTGGTCACAGCCTGGGGCTACACCCCAGCCTGAGGGGCTCGGAGGTATCCTGTCCCAGAGCCAGTGCTTGTCCCTTGGTGGTTTGTGTCTCCACACTGAACTGTTTTGCTTCCTGAGCAATGGCTCTGGACTGAGCACTGTGCGGCACAAGGCCCCACTCCTGCCCTGTGGGAGGAAGCACAGTTGGCTTCCAGGAAAAGTGTTCAGGCTTCTGAGTCTCTTCATTCCTTCAAATCTTTCCCTTCGTTCCTTCAAAGGTTTCCTGTCCTGGAGTGCAGACGTGCTCCTTTCACCCTGTGCATACAACCTCTTGATCTCTCTCGTCTGTGCCTGGGGCACCAGGAGCTCCTGTGCACCTCTGGGCCAGGGGAAGGTCTGAGTCCATTAGTGGAGAGGGTGGTGGAGCGAGGGCTGCAGTGGGTTACTGCTCAGGGGCTCGGTGAGTGAGAGCTGCCCTGGGGGCTCTGCTGTGTCACTCTGAGCTGGGCCAAGTCCCCTGCCCTCCCCCCAGCTCGATGGCTGAGCCTTTGGGACTGGCCCTCGTGGAGCTGGAGGTTTATCATGTTTCCATAACTCCAGTTATGGAGTTGCACTGCCCCCCTGTGCGGGTGGCCGGGGCAGCTCTGAGCACTTGCAAGCCCCAAACTGGAGGAAGTGCAGCACGAGGTGCTGGGCTTTCTGGTAATAGTTAATTTTTTGAGGTCCGGGAAGGTCTGGTAAAGCTGCTTTTGAAGAGGTCACACTGTCAGTGCTCAATTACGGTTCGGACTCTGATTCATGGACTTTCTTATCATGTGGGTGGGAGTGGGAGGCAAATCCCTGGCACAACATCTCTGTCCTCAAGGTCCCCAGTCTCATTGTTGGGAAGAGCCTGGCAGTGTGGGAGCAGCCCCGGCCATGGCCTGTCCCATGGCTGGGCCAGAGGCTCCAGTGGCTGCTGGAAAGTCCAGGAAGTGGCTCTGTTAACACAGGATGGAAGGAACAAAAACCCCAGGGCCATCAATCACCTGCTTGGGCTGAGTGTGCACATTCAGTGGTGGGTGTTTACAGAGCACTTCCCTTGCTTGGAGGCCTCCTGGACTCTCGGAGGATTAATGACACGACCTTCTGAAAGGATGCGCGGCGTGCCAAGTGCCCAGAGTTGCCTCTCTGGAGAGTTCCCAGATGGGAAATGCTCAGGTCCTGCCATGACAGGAGGTGCAGGGCTGGGCTCGTGCCTCCCTCAGCCCTTTGGCACCTTCCCCATCCTGGCAGGACAGGACGGGTCAGAACCAGACTCATCTCTCCCTGGGGAGCAGGGCAGGAGTGAGGAAGCGATGCTAGACCTGCTGTGAGATCCAGGAGAGGCACTGAGGCACCTTCAATGTGCTAACACTGTCAGTACCACAAGACCAACCCTCCCAGGAACACCTGCTTCCATCCCTGAAGACACCCTGTTCTGGGAATAAATGCAGCTGCCAGCAGGACTGACAGTGTCTCAGGTCCCACGTTTGGGGAGGACCCTTTCCACAGCCACGTGTCCCCAGCAGCCTGCTGCTCGTCCCAGCTGTCGGGGTCATGGAAGGGCTGTTTTTCTGGGAGTTCTAGGGGCGTGACAAAGCCTGTGAGAACCGGGAATGAAGCTGGATCTGAGGCACATCCTGGGGTGCACGTGCCTGCGCAGGGCTGTCTTGTCGTGTGATGGGGACCCCTGCAGCCACATAAGGACCCTTCAGGCCAGGGGCTCTCCTGGGTTTGGGACTCCTGATTTGGCCCTCGGCTGGGTGTTGTGCAAGAGCTGAACTTGGAAAAAAATCAGAAACCTCCCTCTGGAAATACCCCTCAGGCTGGAAGTCGTGGGGGCCCTGGGACCGGTGCTCATGGGGGCGGTTCCTACAGGGCTTAAGAAGGGCTGAGGATGAGGCTGGCAGCCAGAAGGAGACAGCCCTGGCCAGAGGCACCCTCTCCCTGGAAGGAGGGTAGAAAGGAAGGAAAACCACCCCTGCTGCTGCCGTGCAGGCAATGGAGCTGGCTCCTGTCCTCCTCCTCCTGAGCTCGCTGTGGGGCTGCAGCGGTGAGTGCCATGGGGCCAGGAGCCACCCCTATCCCCCAACCCACTGCACTGCCCAGCTCTGCTACTGTTGCTCTCCTTGCTTTGCTCGTGGCCCTGTGGCCCCAGGGCCTCCCCGTTGCTGAGTCCCGACAGCCGCTGGGTCCCCCCCGTCGCTGCTGCAGCTTCCCGTCCTGGCGCTCAGGATTCTGGTGACTGTCCCCTTCCCTCACCCTGCGGTTTCCTCCTGCCCAGGGCGCCCTGCTGACAGTCTGGTGGTGACACCGAAGGAGCCGGTGGTGCCGTTCGGGGGCTCAACAGAACTGAACTGCTCCCTGGCCTGCGCAGGGGGCACGGTGGAGTGGAGGGGGCTGGATACTGCCCTGGGGACCATCACATCCTTCCCCACCCACAGCATCCTGCACATCAGCCAAGCCACTGTGGCCATGGAGGGCATGAAGATCTGCCAGGGCAGCTGCTACGGGCAGCACTACCAGCAAACTGTTGAACTGAAGGTCTACGGTAAGTGCTCCCCAGCCCATCCCTTGCCGCCTCCCGGCACAGCCCTGGATCCCTGAAGCAGCCTCCTCCCTCCTGGGCTCTGCTGCCACAAATCACCTTGGCTCTGCCCCTTGTCTGCAGCCCTCCCGGACACACTGCAGCTGGAGGCAGCACCCCACACCCTGTGCCCGGGGTGCCCCGCCAGCCTGCGCTGCTCGGCTGCACGCGTGCACCCTGTCACTGGGCTGGCCCTCACCTGGTACCGGGGGCACCAGGCTCTGGAGAACACAGACTTTGATGCCTCGGAGACCGACGAGGAGCTGTACGACATTGTGTCCACCCTGGCGGTGGATGGGACAGACGTGGCAGAAGGGGTGGAGTTCAGGTGCGAGGTGATGCTGCGTGTTGGGCAGGAGACCTTCACCAGGGTGGCATCTGTGGTGGCGAGTGCTGGGGGTGAGTGCCAGGAGGGGCTGGGAACCACGGCCCCCATATGTTCCATTTGCTGGAGCCAACCTCCACCACCCTATGCTGCTTGGAATTGCTTTGCCAGAACAGGAGCAGCTCCTGCTTCTGCACCATTCCCTAACCTCCCATCCCCATCCCCGTCCCTGTCCCTGCTGCCAGTGCCCATTTGCTCCCGCTTGCTATGCTCAGAGTGGAGTGGGATGGGGCTGCAGAGAGGCCACCTGTGACTGATGCTGCTGTGTCTTCACAGCCACCTCCACCGGCAGCCCCAGCACAGCCGGGCCTGTGACCACCACAGTGCTGCCCCCAGGGCCGAGTGTCCCCACGCATGATCCCACCACAGCGTGGCAGCCTGACACCGGGACCACTCTGCAGCTGGCTGCTGCCACCACACCCTCCTCCACAGAGCATGCTGCATCCCGGGACTTTGTCGCAGGCAGTCCCACGGCTGCTGCCACGCTCCCTGGCTCTGGCACAATGAGCCCAGGGCCATCTGAGCATTCAGTGCCCGCCTGCAGCCTGCAGATTTGGTCGCTTCCCCCCACGGGGACGCGGGGCAGAGCCCTGCGCATCGAGTGCCACGCGCAGTGTGCCGGGAACGCCACGGTGCACTGGCTGCGGACCCCTGCCGCCCTATCTCAATACCGGGAGGAGGCCACGGCTGGCAGTTCCGCGCTGTGGCTGGACCACGCTGAGCCCTGGCACCAGGGCCACTACCAGTGTGTCCTGCTCGGCCGCCTCACGCAGGTAGTCAGCCTGGAGCTGACGGTTGTGGATGGTGAGTGGTGGTCTGTGGGCCCTTGCCCTGCCCCCCATTGCTTGGATGGGGCTGCGGCCTCTTGTACCGGTGCCGCAGTTGGTGCTGGGGGGATTTGCTCATCCCTTGGGGTTTTGCTGCCCTGGGCAGCTGTGGTTACAGCTCCGTGTGTCTGCAGGTTCGTTCAGCTCCAGCCCTGCAATCACTGCAGGGGCAGCGGCCTCCCTGCTGGGGTTCATCGTGACCGCTGTTGTGTCTCGTCGCCTGTGGAAACGTTTCAGATCTCGGTGGGAGCTGTCCTAGGAGCAGGAGCAGCCCACGGATGCCCCCAGCCCCCCAGCCGTGTCCCTGCTGTCCCCCTGTCCGCCGTTGGCCTCTCTCGGCCCTGGCCAGCCAGAAGCAGCAGGAGCAGGAGGTGTGCCCGCAGCCGCCACAGGAAGCAGGGGCTGGAAGGGCGATGAGCAGCGGAGTCACAGGGATGGGGCAAGGGATGCTCCCGGGACTGGATCCCCGCGAGCTCGCACCGGACACTGGGCTGGTCCGGCGCTCCCGGGACCTGCGATGGGCGAGAGCGCGACGGCCGCTCGTCTGCCACGACAGAGGGTCCGAGGCAGCCTCCGGGGGAGCGTGGGCTCGGCGGGCGGGGGGCGGTGCTCCAATAAAGAGCTGTTTCTGTTCGAGCCCTGAGCGAGTGTCCTTTGGGCCGGGACGCCCCCGCGGCCCCTCACCGGCACCGGGTCACCTGCGGCGTCCGCCCGGTTGCCAAGGGCGGGCCACCTGCCCGGACTAGACATGGCGGCCGCGGCGCCCCCCAGCGTTACCACTGACAGGGCAGCTCCCTTGCCCATACTCATGATGGCGGCAGCGGCGTTGTCTTCCTACCCACCGATTGGCTGCCAGTGTGCAAGATGGCCGTGCGAGACCTTCCGGCCCGGGCGGAAGCGCGCTCCAAGATGGCGGCGCACGAGAAGCGGCGGGCGGCCGCCGCCCAGGGGCCGGCGGGGGGCAGCGGGCTGGGGGAGCCGGGGCGGGCGGCGCCGGGGGGCGGCGGGCTGGCGGAGGACAGCGCGGCGGACTTCCTGCTTCGAGCCGGCGTCACGGCCATGGTGCGCGAGGCGTTGCTGAAGGTGTTGGAGGCGCGGCCCGCCGAGCCCGTGTCCTTCCTGGCGGAGTACTTCGAGCGGCTGGTGCCGGCGGAGGCGGCGGCGGAGCCCCCGGGGCCACCGCAGCGCCTGGCTCGGGCGCTGTGGTACGTGCGCTTGGCTCACCACTCGCACAGGTGCGGCGGGCGGCGGCGGGGGGGCGGCGGGGACGGGGGGCGAGGCCACCTCTCTGTGTCTGTGCCCTGTCGCGACAGGACGGCTTTCGACAGCAACGCCGGCGCGGCCTACGAGGTGCTGGGGTGCGGTGGGCGTCGGCGGGCGGCAGGCGTGGACGGGCGGCTCTACAGCGAGCTGCTGCGCCGCATCTGCCAGCGCGGGGCGGCCCCGGCCGAGGCGGCGGCCGCGCTGCTGCGCCGCGTCCGCTGCCGCGACCACGAGGCTGTCCCGTTCGACGTGTTCCGCTACGGCGTCCTCACCTGCTGCGTGCTGCTGGAGTTCGCGGCCAAGGCCGACGCGCTGTTTGCCGTGCTGGGCGGCGGCGGCTCCGCGGACTCCCGGCTCTGCCAGGCTGTGCTGCGGGCGCTGGAGGATGCGCTGGGCGCCGGGAACGGCCCGCGGCCCGGCCGCTACTTGGAGGCAGGCTCCCGGCTGGGCCCCGATGGGCTGGCCCTGGCCATGGACCGGGCGCTGCAGGAGAGGAAGCTTGGCTCCTCTATGAGCAGGGAGGAGTTCCTGAGGAAAGCCACTGCCCTGTTTATTGCAAAAGTGAAACCTGTGGAGTGATGCTGGCTGGGAGCAGTGCTGGCTGTGGCTGCTGTCGACCCCACAGGACCTCCACCGACCTGGACGGTGAGCATGGGGGGCTGTTTGGGTGCTGGCTGGAGAGCCTGGGTCTGCCCCACAAGAGATTGCCCATTTCCACGCCTCTCCCCTGTTCCTGTGGTGCCCAGCAGCTCTGTGCCCCTTCTCACAGCACCTTGCCCAGCCATGGCTCCTCTGGCCCAGCGGCATTGGGAAATCTCTTTCAGGTGTTATCCAGGACTGGCACGGGGACTGTGACCTGCAGGGCAGCTCTGAGCAGTGAATCAAGCCAGAAGGAACAAAGCTGGGCCATGGCTGCACTGGGGCAGCTGGGGAGGGCTGAGATGATTTGAGACATGGAGCATCATGTCTGGACAAAACACATCCCCTTTCCCTGGGACAGGGTTTGATTTGGCACCAGCTGCGTGTCAGGCCAGGGGTTATTTATTTGAACTTGTCTGTGTGTTATTTATACTGTGCAATTGCTGGTTTGCTGTAAGACATTAAAGCTTTTTATTATTTTTTGGTGGCCAGTTTCTTACCACCTGGCAGTACAGGGCAGTCTCCATCCTTGGGGGCTGGTTTGGGGATGTGTGGGGCTGTGGAGCAGCTGGAGTGCAAGGGCTGGTTGGAGGATCCCGACAGGCTTGAGATGTTGTATTGGGTCGGGGCAGGACCTGGGGCTGGTCAGAGTGAGGCTGCGGGTGGTGGCTCCTGACGTCGGCACAGGTGACAGGATGTGACAGGAGGGGAGGTATGAGCCGCGGGCGCTGGAGGGATCATTCTGCTGGGGCCGTCCCAGGAACAGCCTCTGCTCTGGTTCCCTGGCAGTCTGGTGTAGTATCACACAGGCTGTGACACCCGCAGCCTGACAGGTGCAGTCACTGCTGAACGCTGACCTGGGGCTGCACGGTCGCGCCGGGGCTGTGGGCCGAACCGAGACTCGGTGTCCCGGGGAGCCCCGGGGCAGCGGACGATCGCTGAGGGGACGCCGGCACGTGCGCTGGTGTCGTGGTTTCGCCCATCAGCCCATCCTTGGGGCTGAGGATGGTTTTGTCCAGGTAATTTCCGGACAAAAAGGCCAATCAAAAGTCCAGAAACACCTTTGCTAATTACATCTTCAAGAAAAACGGAAGAGAAGGTTGTTGGTGCAGTTAAAAATTAAGAGTAGCAACCATGTAGGGGAGAGGAGTAGCGGGCCCGAGCAGGACCAGACTCTCTCCTCCCCCGGCTTGGGCCGGGGGGGGGAGCAGGTGCAGCACTGAAGTCCTCCCTTCTCTCTTGTAAGAGAGTGAAGAAAAAAAAAGTTTAAAAGATGGACTGCTTGAACAGAAACCGCTGTGGAAGAATTCCAGCCGAAAGATAACAGAGCTTCCAAGGTCAAAGCTGGCAGCTGAAACTGCAGTGAGAAAAGTAAAGTGCGAAAGGGGGGGGCTTGTTTTCCCCCTGCCTTTTCGCTCTCTCTCCTCAGCAGAGAAAAGACTGAAAAGTAATCCCTGCTACTTGTAAAAGTTTGTTGAAGTAAGGAGACCTCCCATATGGCTGATAGAGGAGTCTGTGGATGTACCAAAGAGAACCGAGACTTCATGAGAAGGACTGAAGTGAGGCAGAGTCCTGGTAAAGATTTGTGACCCTGAAGGAAACCTGTGCTGGAGCAGTGATGACTCAGGTGGGATACTGAGATCCGTGTGTGTGTGGATCCACACTGCTGTTGAAGATTTTATAACCCTCAGAAATCTCATGCTGGAACGAGACGGCCCATGTGAGATGTTGGAATCCGTGTGTGTGTGGATCCGTGCTAGACTCATGCCGAAAAGTCTATCAAGGACTGTTCTCCCATGGGGAGGGACCTCCATAGGGAAACAGGGGTGGACTCTTAAGCCATTATCCCCTGTAACCCTGTGGAAGAAGATCCATAATTAAGCAAGTGTCCCCTTGCAAGCCTATGGAAGAAAGACTCTTCGAGACCTGGGTAACTCCCAGCGTTCAGTCTTAGCCCAGGAGGGGAGTAAGCCCAGCCCTGGAAGCCAACACAGAGCGAGAAGGAGAGAGAAGAAGTTCCAACTGCAATGAAAGTGCTGCTGCTGCTGAGGATCTATTGCTAAAAGGAAAGAACTGGAACTCCAAAGATACAGAGTGAAACTACTTCTTCTCCTTGGACTAATATAAAAAGAAAATAAACATTTCTGTATATATATATATAACACTTCAACTTGAGTAAAAATTATTATAAACATAATTCTTTAGTTTTTAATTTATTAATAACTTTTATTTTACTAGTAATAAATATACTATTTTTTCCCCAAATCTTGTTTCTCTTTTGTCTGCAAAAAACTTACTCTCAGCTAGTAGTAATTGTGTAAGAAGTAAAAAGCAAAATTAACCCAAACCAAAACCACGACAGCTGGGTTTCCTCGGCGGGGCGGCCGGGAGCGCTAGCAGGGCCAGGAGCACCGGGAGCCCCGTCGCGGCCGCTCACCGGGAGCGCCGACAGGACCGGGAGCGCCGAACCCGCCGCCGCCGCCAATCCGGGGCAGGGCGGAGCGAGCCCCGCCCCCTGCCCCGCCCCCGCAGCGCGCGTTGATTGGCGAGCCGTGCCTGTAGGGGCGGAGCTCCGGGCGGCCCGGCCCTCCCCCCCGCGGGTACAGCCCCGCCGCCCCCCCCGCGCCTCAGAGCGGCCGCCGAGGCCCCCCCGGCCCCGCCGAGCCCTCGGCCCCGCCATGGCGCGGCCCCCCGTGCCCAGCTCGCAGAAGGCGCTGCTGCTGGAGCTGAAGGGGCTGCAGGAGGAGCCTGTGGAGGGGTTCCGAGTCACCCTGGTGGACGAGGGGGATCTGTACACCTGGGACGTGGCCATCTTCGGCCCTCCGGACACCCACTACGAGGGCGGGTACTTCAAGGTGAGCGGCCAGGGGGAGCGAGGGCTCGGGGTGTGGGGGGAGATGGGGTGAAGGCAGACCAGGTGGTGTCGTGCGTTGTGCCGGATGCCTTGGGAAGGGGTAAAGGGTTTCGGGAGTGGGGAGACCCTGTGAGGGGGCTGTGGACGAGGGAGGGTGTCTCGGGTGGGTGGGCGTGACAGGGCGGCTTCCGGCCTTGAGGGAGTGCTGAGGGCCAGGGAGATCTGGGTCTTTTGCTGAACACTGTGGGGTCGCGGGGTGGCCCTGTGGAAAGGATGAGAGCTGGTGCGCTGCTGCCAAAGTAGGCGAGGGTCCCCTTCGCTGTGAGGGGCGTTTGGCTCCCGGGGGCTCTGTGGGTGCCGGACTGCAAGCTCTGGATGGCTGATGTTCCCTTTCCTGGAGGGGATCCAGGGCATTGCCACCAGACCGGAGGGAAGAGACAAAGGTCCCTCGGGTGCAGGCACAGATGGCCCAGCCCGGGGGGGGAGCTGAGAGCTGGACAGAGAGTGTGTCTCATGGCTTGATTTGGGGTTTGAGGTGGGAGAAGGCGTTTTGTGGTCTGACAGCTCAGTCTCTCTCTCGGCAGGATGTGTGTGTGCTCTTCCCAGGTCTTGTGCAACCTGGGTGGCTGTTTTCTTCCTCTTTCTCATCCTCCCTCCTCCACCAAGCTCTTGTGTTTTCATCCTGTTGCTGTCAGGGTGGGGATGTGCCGGGTGAGTCACCCAGGGTCAGCTGTGTTTGTTTTCCTGGGCATGCATAGCTGATGCTTCAGAGCCAGGTTTTATCTTTTCACTGAAATTGACTTTTTTTTTCTGTAGCCTCTTGGCATGAGACCCTCTGAACTCTCACCTTTTAGCCACTTGTGCTCCAGTTGCATGCCTGAGAGCTTCCAGAGGGTGCTGGTGAGAGTCTACATAAGAGGAGAGCGAAGGGGCTGAATCTTCTCCAGCCTGTTAGTGCATGGCAGAGCAGAGTTATTGCTGTCCCAGCCCCCTTTGCCTCTGTCGGTTTTGTTCTTATCTCCTCTGACACAACAAAGGGGATTATTCTGCGACGTTCAGCTGTTTGGCTGGAGCCCAGCGCAGGGCTGAGTGTCCCTGTGCGCGTGTGCACTACCCTGGGCTGCCCAAACTCCACACACAGAACGTGGCCCCCGCTGCGCTTTTCCCCCTTTCTGTGTCCCTCTGCGCAGTGGAGCTCAGGGACAAAGGGCCAGCCCGGGGGACAAGGCAGGAACATGTGTGGGGACAAACCCACTGCTGTCAGGGGTTGCCCGTGCTGGGGACGGATCCTGGAATGGCAGGAGAGAGGGGGGCTGGAGCCCAGGATGGGGCAGGGTGGTGGGGAGGGGGACAGATGTCTCTGTGTCCTGCCCTGATCCGTGAGCAGCTGTGAGCTGACGGCTCTTTGGCAGCATCGTCTGTTGTCCAGGCTGTAGTTCCAGAAGTATCCAAAGAGTTGTCTGCAGTTACCTTGCTGAACGGGGTTCATTCCATGGGTAAAGAGCAATCCCAGTTCACTCCTCCACTGCTGGGCAGAGCCAGAGTGGTTCACACTGTCCCTTCATGGATCTAGTGTCCAAATTCTCTTGTACATGAACTGAGGGAGCAAGAAATGTTCAGGGAGTTGTTTTGTGTTTAAACCTTCGCTGTTTGTTTCTGGCCATTGCCTGTTTTGGGAACAGCAGCTGAGCCTCAATCTGGAAGTTTGTTCCCAGGGCTTGGAAACAGCCGAAAGCTGAATCAGTCTCTGGGACGTTGCCACAAAGGGAGGAGCTGCCCCAGTCCTCTCAGATGCCTGGTGCTGGCAGCCTGGGGCAGCAGCTTTGGGGGCCATGAGCACATTGCTCTAAGTCCCTGTGCCACCTCAGGCTTCACCTCCTCGCTCAAGGGTGGACAGTGAGCCTGTGTTTGCCTGGCCTCAGCCCCTCCGGTTCGGTGGCTGCTGGAGCCCTGGGCTGCAGCCTGAACTTCACGTGCTTTTATTTTTAGTCCCTGAGCTTCGCGCTGCAGCCAGTTTGGACTTGGTCTCTTTTCAGCAGTGATAGGCTATTTTTAGACATTTGGTGTGTTAATCAGAGCACAAAACACCTGATGCTTCCTCCCCCTGAGCTCTGAAGGGTAAACAGCCTTTTCTCTGGTGGCACAGCTATGTCCACTGGACAGCAGCCCTGGGGGTTGGTTGGCGTCAGGTGCTGGGGCTGTGCTGGATCAGCACCGTGGGCTCCCACTGGTCCTTCGGTGTTGGAGAGCACCGGGTTAGTGTGGGTGGGTCCTGCTGGAGAGGAGGGTATCAGGCAGAATAGTGGGGAAGGAGCTGACAACCCTCACGGCCTGTTCACTTACCCCACTCTGTGTGGTGGGAGGGCACCTGCAGGGCCAGTGTCTGTCCTGCCC